TGGACCCCGTGACCCCGGATGGGCTCTGGGCTGTGCGAGGAACTGAACAGTCCTTGGGCCCCCCGGAATAACTGGACCCCGTGACCCCAGATTAGCTCTGGGCTGTGCGAGGAACTGGACAGTCCGGGCCCCCCCAGAATAACTGGACCCCGTGACCCCGGATGGGCTCAGGGCTGTGCGAGGAACTGAACAGTCCTTGGGCCCCCCCGGAATAACTGGACCCTGTGACCCCGGATGGGCTCTGGGGCTGTGCGAGGGACTGAACAGTCCTTGGGCCCCCCTGGAATAACTGGACCCCATGACCCTGGATGAGCTCTGGGGCTGTGCAAGGAACTGAACAGTCCCTGGGCCCCCCCGGAATAACTGGACCCCGTGACCCCGGATGGGCTCTGGGCTGTGCGAGGAACTGAACAGTCCTTGGGCCCCCCCGGAATAACTGGACCCCGTGACCCCGGATGGGCTCTGGGCTGTGCGAGGAACTGAACAGTCCTTGGGCCCCCCCGGAATAACTGGACCCCGTGATCCCGGATGAGCTCTGGGCTGTGCGAGGAACTGGACAGTCCGGGCCCCCCCAGAATAACTGGACCCCGTGACCCTGGATGGGCTCTGGGGCTGTGCAAGGGACTGAACAGTCCTTGGGCCCCCCTGGAATAACTGGACCCCATGACCCTGGATGAGCTCTGGGGCTGTGCGAGGAACTGAACAGTCCTTGGGCCCCCCCGGAATAACTGGACCCCGTGACCCTGGATGAGCTCTGGGCTGTGCGAGGAACTGGACGGTCCGGGCCCCCCCGGAATAACTGGACCCCGTGACCCCGGATGAGCTCTGGGCTGTGCGAGGAACTGGACAGTCCTTGGGCCTCCCCTCCCCCCGCCGGAATAACTGGACCCCGTGACCCTGGACAAGCTCCAGGGCTGTGTGAGGAGCTGAACAGTCCTTGGAAAAGGAAGTGTGGAAAAGTGTGTTCGGCAGTGAGATGCCTCGTGGAAGCAGGAGGTGAAGACAGAGACAGCGGAGCCCGGACGGCCATGCAGGCCTCAGAAAGGATGCTACTGGAGCCTCGAGAAATTCCTGATCTCACCCCCTCCCAGACCTGCCAAATCAGAATCTGCCTCTTATTGACAATAAGACCCAGGGTTAAGGGAAAACATTAGGGTCCCTTTCTGACCAGATTTCACTGCCTGCTGGAAGCCCCTGGGGTTGGAGCGCCCTGGGGTCAGCACAGGGTGAATGCCCCAGTGGCTGGGCTGGGAGGACCCTTGGGGACCCGTATTTGCTATTGAGACACTGGGAAACTGGTTAACTACCCAGAACCCAGCCCAGAGGCGAGAATCCTGCTGCAGCTTAAGGTCTGCCGGTGGACTCCAAGCCCCCAGACATCTGCATCTGTCCCAGGTTATAGGGCTGGGGTGCAGAGAAAACAACAGCTAAGGCCCCTGCGTCTGGACAGGGTGGGGAGGGACTGAGGTGGGGCGGCGTTTTCCTCCCCTTCTCGGGGCCTCTCTCCTGCGCTGGCGGGAGTGGACACACTCCTGGTTGTGGGCAGTTCCCCCACGGGGGACCTAGGTGTCCTCCCCCAAGGGCTGGTGCCCACAGAGTCCCCCACTTGAAAGATTGCCTCAGCCTCCCCCGCCGCCAGGCAGTCCTTATCTGGTTCCAGGGAGCATCGTTCTCATGTGGATCTCACTCTTCTATGGGTGTTTCGTAAATATTACAACCCTTTCATTCAGATCCCACAGTGCACAGCGCTGAGCTTGCAGGTGGAAAGGCGTGCAGTGCAGCCATCGTTTCGGGGACCCCATACCCTGGGCAGGCGAATCCTCCCCTCCTCCATCCCACACCCTCTCACTGCTGCCCACAGCCCCACCCCCTCCCAGGTCAGATGTGGTGCCCCTGTCCCCTGCCCCCCGCCCAGACAGGTGGGTGACCCGTCCCCATCCCTCTGACCCGCCCTGGACTCTTTCCTGGCCCCTCTCCTTGGCCCGGGGGGGTGTTCCTGAAACAGCACTGCCCAGCCCTCAGGTGGAGGGCTGTCCCTCCTCCCTCGGCTCTCAGGAGCGGGTCTGGGCAGCTCCAGCCTCCACTTACCCCCCTAACCCCGCAGCCGCCCACCCACCCAGCCCCCAGCCCAGCTCAGGCTCTGTCCAGGCCAGCCGGGCAGTAACCAGAGGGGTGGGAATGAGTGCCAGCAGTCACCATGTGGGCCACTGGGCCAGGCCTGATTTTGCTTTTGTCTCAAAGACAGAAATCTTCATTTGGGACTTTAGTTGTGAGACTGGTACATGCTTTCTGGCAAACACACAGAAGCACATGCAGTAACAAATGCGAACGCCTTGTCCTTCACAGCCTGTCTCCAGGCGACCAGGCCAGCCTGGGAGCAAAGGCTTCCATCAGCTTTTCTGAACTGGGATAGAAGACCTGCTCGTCACCCCAGGTCTCCCCAGCCAGTCCCCCACTGCTGGCCCAGCGCCCACCAGCCAAGTCCCTGGCGAGCACTGTCGGCTCAGGGCCGCAGTGGTCCCGCAGGCAGGCACGGAACTCGGGTGGCCCTGAGGGCTGGTTTGCAGCCCACCCCTGTTCTGTTCCCCTAGTAGGTCTCCGTGGACCCATTTCCACCGCAGATATGCTTTCACCGCAGATATGCTCCCCCCGGAGCCCAAACTGCCTCTCAGTTAGCAGTCGTCCTGGGTGTGGAAGCAGAGCCGCAGGGCTGAGGGAGCAGACCCAAGTTTGCGAGCAGTTTCTAAGTCACTCCCCCGAAGGTTACGGCGACCAGGCCCCAGCCGTGCACCGAGCGCAGCTTTCTCCACAGCCTCCAACCCCACCTGCCAGCTCTGTAATATGCCAGCCGCACGGATGAACAATAACATCACGTCCTAACATTTCTTAAAGTTCCTGTAATTACTGTTGCAGGATTCTCATGTGTTTATCGGCCTTTGAAAAGCTTTCCCTGTGACTCGCTTATCCGCGGCTTTTCTGTCTCTGTTGCTTTGTTTGCTCTGGGGTTTTGGAGGTGTTTTGCACACAGACGTTTTCAAGTTTCTTTGTCATCACATCTGTTAACCTTCAGTGGTTTCTTCCCTTCGGTGACATTGCCAAGAAAGTCTTTTCTTTTCCAGATTGTTCGTTTCTCAGTAGTTGTCCAAAGTGATCCAGCCACTAGGTTCTGCAGCGGACCCACTTTTCATAGGCACTCGGATGTGAAAGGGTCCTTCTCTCTGGTGGGCCTGAGTTGGACTCCCGCCCTCCAGCCCTGGGCTGGCTGCAGCTGGCCTTCCGAAGAGCTTGGCCATGATGGTGTCTGCCCCGCCCACCACGTCTGGAGGGCACGGCCACATCAGGGTTTACCCCACCCACCACCTGTGGGGGCGTGGTCACGTTAGGGTTTGCCCCTCCCATCACGAGTAGGGGGTATGATCATGTCAGCGTTTGCCCCGCCCACCACCTGTGGGGCGTGGTCACATCAGGGTTCACCCGCGCACCACCTGTGGGCACCCTTCCTCCCCATCCTGGTCCTTCCACCTTGTCCTCCCTCCGGCAGGGTCCTGCCTTCCAGCACCTGCCCTCCCAGTGGCCAGGCCCCTGAGCTTGTTTCAGCCCCTCCGGTCCCACTCCAAGCACCTGGTCCCACCGTCCTTGGGCTTGAAAGCCTCTAGCAGGGCCGCCTGCAAGGCCCACCTCCTCTCAGCCTGCTCCAGCCTGTCCCTCCAGAGGGGACCCCGCTGACACCCCGGGCTGGAGCTGGGATAGGGGGTGGCCCTGCGCACTCGCCCCGCACGCTGCCAGGCTCCTGGGAAGGGTGTGTAGGTCCAGAGAGGGTGTGCAAGTCGGTGTGGACAGGGCGGGCTTCCCAGAGGCTTGCCCTGGTGGGCGTCCAGTGGGCCAGTGTGCGTCTCAGCTCCAGACTGGGGCCTCTGCGAACCTAGTGGTGACAATGCTAGACCCACCGTCTTTCCATTTGACCTGAAAGTTCTGCGAGGTGGGCCCTGGCGTACTCAGGCTGTGGTGGTTCTCTGTGTCATTCGGGGCTCGCAAGTTGACAGAGCTAGTCTGTGTTCAGTGGATTACTTCTTAACACCTGAGGGCCCTGGTGACCCTCACAGGACTCTGCTGGCCTCAAGTCCACTTTGATTGATGCCAACATGACTATGGTGGGTCAGATGCTCGGGGTCAGATTTGGACCTCGAAGCTCCCAAGACTCCAGGGTGTGGCATGAGGTCCTGGGGTGGCGTGGGCCCCCATGTGCACAGTCTTTGAGGAGCAAGGATCCTGCTCGTCGCTTCTCCCTTCCCACACGATTCCCAGCCCCACCCTGGCCCCCCACTGCAGACACCCTCCCACAAACTCTTCCTCCCTGTGGGTGCGGTGGGGGGCAGTTGTGGAACTGGGCTCCCCCGCTTCTTGGAAGGATCATGCCCCACCCTGGTGACCTCTTGTGACCTTGAGTGCCCCCTCCCAAGTGCAGCCACACTGGGGTCAGGGATTCCCGTAAATCCAGGATGTGGACATTCAGCCCACAGTGGTGTGTGCGCTCCCTGTGTTTGGGACAGAAAGGCCCGTTGGGCACCTCTCGGCGCACCAGGATCTCACGTGGCAGGTGGCCAGGTCCTCCCAGGTGCTGGGGAGAGTCTTGGCTCCTGTGTGGGGGTGTTTCAGCGCCTGTGGTGCTTGCTGGGTGCAGCCAGTGTTCAGGAGCTGGCCTGGAAGGGCAGGTGGGATGTGGTCACCTGCTGTGCTGTTGGCCTTGGGAGCTCTGGCGGCCCACCTGCCTAGACTTCCACCTGGGTGGTCCTGTTCCCTACCCCCACCCCGTAGGCCAGTGACAGCCTGCCCAGATGCAGTCACCTCAACACCCTCACCTTCTCTGGCTCTACAGGTGCCAGGCCCTGCGTCGCCAGCCAGCACACCCAACCCTGAGACCCAGGCCCACCCAGATGATGGCAGGCCCAGCCCTGCTCCCATGGCAGGCTCCCAGACACAGCTGTGCCTCGTGTCTGCAGGCACTTCGCCTCTCTGAGCCCCGATCCCTCTGCCACGAAAGTGGGGGCGATTGCCTTGGCCCCGGGGCTGTTTTCCGCCTCTGAGTGGCCCCTGCAGAAGGCTCGGGGCTATACTGCTCATGAGTCGTTCCCAGGTGGGCTCTGATCTCTAGGGTCACCTCTCCTTGGGAAGAGGAGCCCCCAGGGGCCGGCAAGCTTCTCACTGCTGCTGAGGAAGCTGACTGATTCTGCATGGGAAACTAATGACTCCAGTTCAACTCAGCCACTCAGTCGTGCCCAACTCTGTGACCCCATGGACTGCAGCACGCCAGGCTTCCATCACCAGCTCTCAGAGCCTACTGAAACTCATGTCTATATGACTCCAGCCAGGCCACTATTTTTAATCATTCCAGCTCCCCAGCAGACTATGAGGCCTGGGCAGGGATCCTGAAGCCCCTGGAGAGGGAGCCTGGCGGGGTTGCCAGGCCTGGGCAGCGCCTGGTTGAGGGGACCCACTCCTGATCCTCCTGGTGTTTCGGGGTGGAGAGGAACCCACAGAGCAGGGTGGTCGTGAGAACAGAGCTGAGCTGCAACCAGCCGTAGGGCTGGAGCCTCCCCCTGGATCCACCCTGGGCCTGACGCTTGCTGTCGCCCCTTACGAAGGGTCTCCCAAATTAGGGGGCTGGCAGACACACAGGCCCGCTGAGCCCTTTCTGGGGTGCGATCAGAAGCTTCCCTCCTTCAGAGGAGTTGCTGCCGCTCAGCGCCAGGGTCCTGAACCTTCTGACCCCTCCTGTGTCCCTCCCCCCCCCCCGCACCTGTGGCCTGAATGCCACAGAGATGAGACTGGACGGTGTGTGTGCTGGGGGCCCCAGGTGAGCACCCCGCCGGGGATGTGGCAGGGCTTGAAGGGGTCAGGGGCGCCTCTGAGGAATGAAAAGGATTTCCAAGTTGGGGGCTGGGAACCTCCTGCAGCAGGGACCCCCGGGAAGGGGTAGGAAAGTGACAACCACCTGGCGGCTGGATGGGGGTCTTGGGCCGATGGAGGCTGCCTTTGGGTCCGCAGGAAATGCAGCCACATCCACAAGGGGCATTGATGGAGCCAAGTGGGTGGGACTGGTCATGGTGGCCACTGCAGAGGGGGTGCAAGGGGCCAGGGGCTGGGGCCGCCTTACAGACTCCTTTTCTTTCTCTGGTGACGCTCCTGGCCAGCCCAGCAGCGCACCTTTCATGGCCTGCCCTTGTAGGCCAGCTGGCCCTGGGGCCTCACTCGCACCGGCTGACCTGGGGCCTCACACCAGCTGATCTGGGGCCTCACTCACACCAGCTGGCCTGGGGCCTCACTCGCACCGGCCGGCCTGGGGCCTCACACGGGCTGACCTGGGGCCTCACTCACACCGGCTGACCTGCGGCCTCACTCACACCAGCTGGCCTGGGACCTCACTCGCACCGGCCGGCCTGGGGCCTCACACGGGCTGACCTGGGGCCTCACACGGGCTGACCTGGGGCCTCACACCGGCTGACCTGGGGCCTCACACGGGCTGACCTGGGGCCTCACTCACACCAGCTGGCCTGGGGCCTCACATGGGCTGACCTGGGGCCTCACACGGGCTGACCTGGGGCCTCACTCGCACCGGCTGACCTGGGGCCTCACACCAGCTGACCTGGGGCCTCGCACCGGCTGACCTGGGGCCTCACACCGGCTGACCTGGGGCCTCACACTGGCCGACCTGGGGCCTCACTCGCACCGGCTGACCTGGGGCCTCACACCGGCTGACCTGGGGCCTCACACCGGCTGACCTGGGGCCTCACACTGGCTGACCTGGGGCCTCACTCGCACCGGCCGACCTGGGGCCTCACACGGGCTGACCTGGGGCCTCACACGGGCTGACCTGGGGCCTCACTCACACCTGGTCACAGGGAGGGGCAGAAGAGGGTATGGTCCTCTCTGGGGTCAGCTTCATGACAGTGGCTGGCCATGATCCCTGACCTCAGCCCCACACTGACTCTTGGCCAGCCACGTGGTCGCCCAGGAACCCAGACTTATTCTGACCCCTGACCCCAGCTGCACCCTGACTTTGACCCCTGCCCCCTGCTGGCTTCTAGCAGACATGCTCTGACCTTTGACCCCACATTATGTGGACCCTTTAGCCAACTACTGGGCAGGCCTTGATGGCCAGTGCTGGCCCTGACAGAACCACACCCTGGTCACTGCATGAAATGGTGCCTCGGGTGGACCACCTCGCAAGCTCAGCGGCCTGGAGCCCTGAAGACATGGGGGCATGGAGGTGGGGGGAGAGCAGGACTGGGGGAGCACCCATCCTGGAGACAGGAGGGATGCCCGGCTCCAGAGACAGGTGTCCACGGGCAACCTCGCGCACCACCGGGGTGCTAGGTGACCGTGGCCTGGCAGCCTCCCTCTCTGGAGCTCAATTTGCTCAAGTGTAACAGCCGGAGGCTCGTGAATTCTGAAGACTCTTGGAAGAAACAAGTGCTGAGGGAGCTGCCGTGCGGTCGATTGAGATAATGCGTCTGCAACGCTCAGCTCGGAGCCAAGCGCATCACAAGCATTTGAGAGATGTCATTACTGACGTCGCTGTTAACAGCCCGCCTGCCTGCCCACCTAGCCACTGGACGGGGGCCAGGCAAGCTGTGGCTGTAGCAGGGCAGGCCGTGTAGGGACTGGACATGGTGCTCTTCTCCAGGTACCGGGCGAGGTCCAGCGGGTGGGGACGCCATCACACTTCCGGTCCCCAGTACGGGCTTCTGCCAGCTGACACCCTGGCCCTCGGCACAGACAATGCCGCCAGGAATCGCTGGGCTCCGGAATGGCTCAGTGCACGTGGCCAGGCCACGCTGGTGCCTGGGCCTGCGGTACCTTCAGTGCTGCGCCCCCTGCCTCGTAGTGCTGGCAATTAGAGGGGTAGGCGGGAGGGGCAGGGAACAAGTTCTCCCTTCCTGGCAGCCTGGCCTGGTTGGGTGGGTGAGGGGCTGGAGCTGGCCCCTGGACCCTCTCTAGGCCCCTTGGAGGGCAGGGAAGCTCATGCCATTCCTACCTTTCCACCCCAATGTCCCACCTGCCCCAGGGGCACCCACCCCATCCCCGCACCTCCAAGTTAGCCGTGCACCCTGCCAGCCTCAGTGGGGTTGTAAGGACCCGTCATGGGCCACACGCCGAGTCCTGCACCTGCTGTTGTACCTGCGTCTTCTGCTGGCTTTCCAAAGGTGGCAGAGCTCCTGTCCATGACATGTGAGATGATGTTACCTGTGTGCATGTCAGGGGTTGTTAGGGACCAGAACTGTGAGGTCTCGGGGAACACGTCCAAACCACAGTGCCTGGGGGGGGGGGCAGCGGCAGGTGGGGGTGAGGGGCCTGCGAGGCCAGAGGACTGCCGGTCCCCTTGCAGTCACCCCAAGAACAGCAGGGAGAGACCATCAAAGGTAGTGGATTGATACTTTGAATGTTTTAGAAAGATTCCTTCACCTAAAAGATTGGAAGAGGGCACAGCCCAGATAAGGAGAAGCAAGGGGCTCTGGTTGCAATTGGATGGCACCTGAGTCAGGAGTCAGGGGGCACTTGGTGCTGAGTGAGGGGGCACTTGGTGAGTGAGCAGGGGAAGGGAGAGAAGAGGACAGAACCGAGATTGCTGTTGGAGGTGGAACGTGTTGGGTGTTGGTAACTTGAGCGAGGCAGGGGGGATGTCAAGGCTCCTGGGGGGCCGGGGATGCCCTGGTGGACAGAGAATGCTGCAGGGGAAGCAGCTTCCTGTCTGAGCTCAGTGAGCAGAGAGCTTCTGTGTGGCATCCCCAGGGCATCTTGACAGGTGGTGATATGGGCTCTAGGCCAGGGGAAAGCTGGGCTGGAAGGAGATGAGGAGCTGTTACTCTCGCTGAAGTTATGCACGAGTGAGGTCCCCAGGGAAAATGCATGGATGGTGAAGAGAAGTCTATTTATGCATTCACCTTAAAATCATACAGAAGAGCTAAAGCCCTCATAGAGTGAAGTAAGACAAGAAAAAACAAATTGAAGACATGCATTGGCAAGGGAAAAGTTAAAGCAGATTTTTATTTATTTTTTGCAGATGATGTGATTTTCTATTTAGAAAAAGAAGGAATCTGGAGACAAATTACTAGCAATGATAGAGTTCAGCCACATAGCTGAATATAAGCTCTATATACACCTTGCAGGTACCAGTGTCAACTGTATTTCTGTACATCATCAAGAAACTAAAATGTGGCTGCCATTTTGTTGTTTTTTTAGGCACTCAGTCGTGTCCAACTCTTTGCGATGCCAAGACTGTAGCCCGCCAGGCTCCTCTGTTCATAGAATTCTCCAGGCAAGAATACTGGAGTGGGTTGCCATTTCCTTCTCCAGGGGAGCTTCCTGACCCAGGGATCAAACCTGCGTCTCCTGTGGTGGCAGGTGGATGCTTTACCCCGGAGCCACCTGGGAAGCCCCGTTGCGACCACTTATGTAGCAACAAAACTACAAACAGAACAAGATAAATCTCACCATAATTGTAAAAACCTATATGCTAAAATTTGTATAATATTCCTGCAGGATGTGAAAGAAAACCTAAACAACTGGAGAGAAATCCCATGTTTATAATTTGCAAAAGTTAGCATCATATATAATCTCCACCAGTTTATCTAATGATTCAGGACACCAGTCAAAACTCAGTAAGATCCTTTGTGGAACGTGTCCATTTGTTTCTGAAGAGGGAGGTAAGCTTGCTCTGTGAGGTACCAAGACATTATAGAGCTTAGTAAAAATGCTGTGTGGTGTTAGTTCAGGGGTAGGAAAATGGACTAATGGAACAGATAGAATGTTCCTGAGCATGTCTGTGCACATATGGAGCTCCATGAACAACACAGGTCACATGGCACACCATCTGGGAGGCAGGGAGTTTTCACCATGTACCTGGACTAATTGTTTCTCCATATGGAAAAAGTTAAAATTCTCTCCAGCCAGATGGATTTAGAACTTGTGTCAAGGCAAATGTCTGAAGCAAAATTTTAAAAATCTTTAGAAGAAAATATAGGTGAAAATTTCTGATTTCGAGGTAGGATTTCTTAAGGTACAGAAACTGCTAACGTAAGAGAAAAAGACTGATGTATTTTAATTCATTATTAAGATTAGAAGCTTCTATAAATTAAAAAGCAATTTAAATCGGGTTTTAAAAAAAGTCACAGTATGAGACTCTATTTGCAAAACATGACTGACAAAAAATTTGTATCAAGATTAAATAAAGAACAGCTCAAATCAGCTAGAAGGAAGAAAAACCCGAGGTGCAGAAGATAAAACAGCTGTGGCACAGAAGAGAAAGCTCCTGCAGAGGTATAAATGACACCAGGACATGCGCACAAGCTATTCAGTTCAGTTCAGTCACTCAGTCGTGTCCAACTTTTTGCGACCCCATGGACTGCAGCACCCTGTCCATCACCAACTCCTGGAGTTTATGCAAACTCACGTCCATTGAGTCGGTGATGCCATCCAACCATCTCATCCTCTGTCATCCCCTTCTCCTCCCGCCTTCAATCTTTCCCAACACAAGCCATTGCAAACTGCAAGATTGGGTTATTGGACAAACGTAAGAGGTCTGACAATACTGAGTATTAGTACACAGGCTGAAGGGCGTGTAGTTTAGAACAATCACCCTGGTGTAATCTTATAAACGTGATCATTTGCATGATCTCTGACCCAACAATTCCTCTCCTTACTGTGTACCAAGACAGAAAGCTGGGCGTATCTACCAGAGACATGCACAAAAGCGTTCATACTGGAAGAGGAATTCAAGATGACCCCAAAGCCCACCTACAGGAGTCTGGGTGAATAAATGAAGCATATTCCCTTCATTTTGGTGGATGCCGGTATCGAGGGTGGTCTGTCCCACCACCCTGGGAACAGACTCAGCTTTTGGTCCCCATACCAGAGGGGATGCCCCACCACCCCAGGAATAGACTCAGCTTTTGGTCCTCATACCAAGGAGGACGTCACATGACAATGAAAATCAGTGATCTGCAATTGAGCTGGAAGTTGGTCAGTCATGGGCCCCCCAGCTGATGCCACATGGGTCGGGGTGACCTACCCAGCAGACTTTCCTGAATCCCTGACTGGCCACATTCTGAGAAAAATAAAAGAAACAGAGGTTCTAAGACTCTTAAGCTTGGGGGCATTTCGTTACACAGCACTAGAAAACCAAACTTTGCGTCTGTACCTGTGCAAGGACATCTGCTTAAATTTGCCTACTTTTGTATGCCATCCCTTCCACCACGGTGATTTAGTACTCCTACCTCCCCAAAATTGGAAAAGGAGTGTGTCAAGGCTGTATATTGTCACCCTGCTTATTTAACTTATATGCAGAGTACACCATGCAAAGTGCCCGGCTGGATGAAGCACAAGCTGGAATCAAGATTGCTGGGGGGAATATCAATAACCTCGGATATACAGGTAACACCACCCTTATGGCAGAAAGTGAAGCAGAACTAAAGAGCCTCTTGATGAAAGTGAAAGAGGAGAGTGAAAAAGCTGGCTTAAAAGTCAACATTCAAAAAACTAAGATCATGACATCTGGTCCCATCACTTCCTGGCAAATAGATGGGGAAAACAATGGAAACAGTGACAGACTTTATTTTCTTGGGCTCCAAAATGACTGCAGATGATGACTACAGCTGGGAAGGCTGAGAGCTTTGAGGCTAATGGACTCGTCTGTGGTGGAGCCCCAGTTGGGACCCACGCAGTCTGGCCTAGAGGTGGTGCCTCCAGCTTCTCCTCTGTGCTCGTACAGATAAGTCAGGAAGGAAGATGCCAGGTGTGAGAGCAAGGCAGAGAGGAGGGGGAGCCTCAGGCTCATGGACCTCCAGCTCCAGCCAATTCAGAGGCTCCTGTCTCGTGCCCAGCCGGGAGGGAAGGGCTGAAGCTGAGGTGACTCCTGCAAACCCAGTGGGGAAAAGGAATGAACTGCACACTCCAGCTCAGATGAAGGAAGCTTGAGCTGCCATGATCAGGGGAGCGGTGGGTATAACCCTCAAGGAAAATCCAGAGTCCTGGGCTGGCCCTGCCTTGGACCTGGAATCTGGCTTTAACATCACCTCCGGGTATGGGAACCGGAAGCTAAGAGTCTGTTCCTGGCATGGTGGGACACCCACCCCACCCCACCCTCGATACCTGTGTCAGCCAAAATAAGCCACCATGAACAGTCACCTTAACAGTGCAGGCACCTTGTGCTTCCACAGTAAATATAACCCTTGCTTGAGATCAGCTAAACATGCACATGTACAGGTACACAGACGACTCCATCATGACCAAAACAGAAGAAACCAGGAAGGCTGGTTCCCTGGAAACTTCAGTTAACTGAAAAATCTGAAAGAAACTGTACAACAGTGTTCAACGTGGGTGCCAAAGAAGAGAGGAAATCAAAGTGACCAGAGCTCAGAGTCTTCTGCCAGAAACTCCTCTGTCCATGAGAGTCTCCAGCAGGAATACTGGAGTGGGTTGTCATGCCCTCCCCCAGGGGATCTTCCACTTCTTCTTCAGTGTGTTCTCAGATAGAAGACTCTCAGTGAATCTAGAAAAAGGCTTTAAAAACACATACATGTGGATGTTTCCTACGGAAAGTTCAGAACATCAGAGACAGAAAGGACGTCATGAAAGGGCCCAGAGAAGGACAGAAGTTTACTCCTGAGAACAGTTTGGGCCACAGAAGTTTCAGAACAGCAACAGCATCCTGAAACATCAGGAGAATGTCTTCAAGGCCGTGAAAAAGGCAGTTGTCAACCAGAGATTTTACATCAGGCTTAAGTGTCAGTCAGGAGTAGAGTAACATTCCTGAGCAGAGATGGTTCAGACAAGCTGAGAGAGCCTACCACTAGCTGGTCTTTTCTGAAAATCTCCAAAGAAGCTACTTAAGAGAGAAGGAAGTTGAGCTCAGACGAAGGAGCAATGCATGAAGACAGCAAACTGATTAGTGACCGTGGAGACAGACTGAAGTGAGCGTCAGTGATCAACGCGAATCGTGTTACTGATGATTATTTCGGTGATGACAAAATGGCACTGAAGTACAAGGCAATGATAATATGTAAAACGGAACTGGTAGTGATCAGGGAAACTGTATCCAAAGGTCCAAATAGGGCGGAGAAAGGTAGAGATGGACTAGCGTTAGACTTTGTCAGGTGTGTGTGTTATAGAGTTCATTGTATGGGTCAAACCACATGACATTGCTGATGTTTGACCAATGTGACGGCAATTTCACATGGTTTAACCCAATACTGTAAAGCTTCCGAAGGAGGGTGGGTGAAGTGGAGAAAACTTACCGTCCCAGCGGAGAGTGGGGGGACAATGGGGTCCCTGCCTGGTGAGGGCACAGGTCCCCTGTGCAGACGTGCACCGGGAGGCAGCGGGAGCTCAGTGACCAGGGACGCGAGCCCCCAGCCAGGGCCCCCTGTAGCGGCTGATGCCCGTCTTCCTGCAGGTGTACTTCCGGGTCCTGATGTGCTTCCGGGTCCTGGTACACCCCATGACTCTCAGGTGATCAAGGCTCTTTGATGACGTGTTTGAGGGCATGAAGGTGTAAACACACATGTCCTAAGTGAGGGGGTGGGCACCTAGATTGTAGAGTCTTGATGTAGGTTTATGATTGAAGTGATGTCTCCTTCCGACATAGAAACTAGAGGCCAGGGGTCTTCAAGCCTGAGGATGCACACCTCCTGCAGAAAGGCTGAATGTGGGTCTCAGAGTCCTTCACTCACCAAAAATATGTGTCCTGTTAAACTAAAGAAACTAAAAGTGCCTAAATACAGAAGAAAGGAAAAGCCTCCAGATGCCTGGGTTGTGGCAAGTCTCCCGGAAGTGTAGGTGGAAGCCTCCAAAGAAGGGGGAGTGGGTGAACACTGCGCCTTTCTGGGAAACCTCAAATTGGAACGCTTAACCTGGACAATGTCTAACCCACGAAATGGCTGAGGAAACACTTCTGAGCCTGTGGCTGGACGGCGCTCTGGCCCATGTGGGCTGTAGTCCTGCGGAGGGAGCAGGGCCTGGGGTAGGGCCCAGGGATGGCTGGACTTGGGGCCAGGAGACGCCGTCATGACAGCAAGTGAGGGCAGGATGTCAGGATGGGAAACTCTCACAGGCAGGAAAGCATCACTTGACAATACCCAAGAAGTTCCCACAGACTGATCAGAGATTGAAAACCCAGTGGAAAACTGTGCAAAAGATATATGTGGGTTGTTAACAGAGATAGAAATAAAAAAGGCCAATAAATTCGTGCGAAGATACTAAACCTTATTAGCAGTCAAGACAAATCAAATCTGAACCATAATGACATATTTTTACTCAAGAGATGAGCAAAAAGTACTCCATCCGACATTTATTGCTGGGAAGGCTGTGGGGATCGGCCCCCTCGCATCCAGCTGATGGGAATCGATGCGGACACAACCTAATTGAGTGCAATTCCTTAATACCTATTAAGATAAAATACAGCCTTACTGCCTGACGCGGGAATCTCACTTTGAGGATTTATTGTGTAAAATTTAAAGAGCCAGTCCTGAAGACGCTAGTGCAAGTGTTCACTACGGCGTGCTGGTGCTGGGAACGCCCTGGGAGCGGCCCATCAGAGAAGGGTGTCCCTCCCTCGCGGAGGGTGGCCGGCCCCAGGGAGGGGACAGCTGGGCACCTGGTTGAAAATGGGGCTGTGCTCTCAGTAGACAAGCTTTGTGGGCTGCACAGCACACCTGGGGAATGGGCTCAGGGAGGCCCCTGCCTAGCACACCTGCCACACCCGCCCACACCCTGTAATCACCCTGGGGGACCCGGGGAGGAAAGCATGCCCGTTTCTGTAAAAATCAAACCCCAGAGATGCCTTTAGGTACCTATGTGTTACCAGAGGCCCATGTGATGGGGATGGGGGAAGACACTTGTTCTTTGTCTTTTTGGGTGTCCTTTCCTGGTTACGGTAAACTCTTCTGATGTTGGCAAGGTGAAAATGGAAATTTTAATAAAAGGTGTACTCCAGTAAAAGCCAGGAGAAAGGTTTATTCAAGCAGATCATTGAATACACAAGAAAACATTTTTCACAGGAAGAATTCTCTTGGTTTTCCGTGGATGTTTTCTCTTACAAATGAATCAGGCAAAGCCTGCTTAATAAAATAGGAAATGCAGTTCATCATAAACCTCTTCTCAAACTGAGGAGATGGGAGTGATCTCAAGTTGATCAAGCAGGGCTGGGAGAAAGCCCTGGAAAACCCCTGCCTAGTGGTGAAGTGTGTGAGGCACTCCCAGTGAAGCTAGAAGCAGGGGCCACCACCACCTTCTCCTTCCTTGGCGTTTTCAACGCATCCTACTTTCTCTGCGTTTCTGTCACTCCCATGTCTTTTGTTTGATTCATCAGAGTCATGGGTCCACGTGTTCCTCAGTCTGTTTGGAATTTTTCATCCCAGCTCGTTCAGAGGCTGCCAACCGGCACCCTTGCTTACAGATGTCCGGGGCTCTGCTTCTTCGGCTCAACACACCCCAGGACCCCAGGGACCAGAAAGAATCTCAGTCACTTTTAGCTCCCTTGAACGCTTCCATCCCCCAGGTTTCTATGTTCTGGATTATTCTGTTTTCTTTGAGGATTGTCTTTAGTGAAAGTGTTAGTCAGTCGTGTGCGACTCCTTGGCACCCCATGGGCTGTAGCCCTCCAAGCTCCTCTGTCTGTGAGGTTCTCCAGGCAGGAATACTGCGGTGGGTTACCGTTTCCTGCTCCAGGGGATTTTCCCCACCCAGGGATCGAACTCGCGTCTGCCACACTGAAGGCAGATCCCTTGCTGCCTGAGCCACCGGGGAAGCCCAGGCTGTCTTCATTCAGACTTTATAATAATGCAGTTTACTCATCTCCCTGCTTCCCACTTCTTGCTCTCACTCCCGCTTCTTTTCCTCTCCTGGCTGGAGGACGTTCTCAGCGCTTTCCCAGGAAGGGCTTTACTACCAGCCTGTGTGCTTCTGTGCTCAGGAGGCGCCGGCTTCCTTCAGGCCTGTTTCCATCCCTCGATGCTGCCCAGCCCCTCCTGTCTGCGAGCCCCCGGGGCCAGCTCATGGTCCGGGCCCTGGGACCGGAGACTCCCAGACTCCTGGGCTGTCTCCTCGGGGTTCTCTGGAGTCGCTGAAGGAGCGCTGTGGTCTGGCGGGCCTGCCCTCCCCGCAGGCCTGCCCAGGCAGCGACTCCTGCAGCTTCTCAGGATGGAGCCTCGCCCTGTGTCACTCCCACCCCGGCTTAGCATCCGCCTCTGTCCTCTGAGGGGAAGCCACTGGTCACCTTCTGCAGGTGGCCAGGGACCCAGCCATCCTGACTCTGCTCCCTGCTGGCTGGGGAGCACCGCCCACAGCTTCTCCCCCTCGGGGCGTCCAGGGCCCCTCTGCCCGTCCCTCAGTCCTGCTGGTCTTTGGGAAGCAGATGTGGGCTGGCCGCCCAGCAGGGGAGCGTTCAGGTTCAGGGTTCAGCCCGGACAACGCAGGTGGGCTCAGGGCTGGGACTGCAGTTGGTGCGGCTCGGGGGTTCTTTAGTGAGAGGGAGGCTGGCGGGAGTGGGCCTGGGCCCCGGGCATGGAGTAGAGGTAGACGCCGGCCTGCGTCTGCACCATGATCGCGGCAGAACCCGCGGGCACGAAGCCCACGTAGGCGCAGTGGGCAGGCCGGACCTCTCTGAGGTCCCAGTGTCCGTAGGGGTTCAGCAGCTCCTGGCGGGTCAGCCCGAGCGCGGCTGCTGCCTCGGCTGCTCTGCTGGGCGCGAGGGCCTGCGTCTGCCCAGCCTCTGGCTCCGCGGGCTGGCGGGGCCCCGGCTCCACACGCGGGTCCGGCCCAAGCAGGCGCACCAGCTCCCGCGGAGCGCGGGGCTCCCTTCCGGCTCGGTGGCCGCTCCCTCGGTGGCGGGTTCGGCCTCTCTGCGCGGCGCCTCCCACGAAGCCGGGGGCCTCACATCTCAGGGGCTTCACGTAGGCCAAGGGTCTCGAGCACTGCGCGGGGCCGGCGGGCCCCCCAGGGTCTCTGCATCTTCCCCCAGGGCAGTGCGCTGCGTGGGGCCGAACAACTGGAGGGAGACAGAGCAGTGAGTGGGGGAGGGAGGGGGAGAGGCGGGGTGGAATGGGAGGACTGGGCCTCACCCTCCTTCTGCCCTCCCGGCCCCCTGGCAGCCCGGTATTCTAACCCCCGCTGTACTGACAGGTACCTGCCATCTAGGTTCACTAGAGAGACTCGGCCTGAATACAAACAATTGCCTACGGCACCGAGGCGGGTGGGGAGGGGAGAGAGGCCGCTGGGGGCTGGCAGACAGCACCGAAGGGGCCACCAAGGCCTCCTGGACCTGAGCCAGGCTGCGGCCTGCCCTGTGGTCCTGGGAGAACCGGAGCAGGGGAGCAGTGTCCTCGAGGCAGGACTGGGGGTGCAGGGGTTGCGGGGTTCGGGAGGTGGCACTGCGTGGCTGGCGTGCCTGGACGACTATCCCTCCTCCAGCAGGCCGGGTGAGGCCTGAGGCCGCGCTCCACAAGGGAGTCCAGGCGACAGGACGACCTGACCGTACTGGGGCACTTCTGTCATCCAGAGGGCGGCCTGGGCTGGAGCGGGATTCGGGGTCACCACCAGAGGGGTGAATTTTCCCCCGCTTCTTGGCCAGGGACACTGGGAGCTGAGGGTTGAGAGCCCAGTGCTCCACAGAGTTCAGCCAAGACAGACAAGGACACCGGGGAAAGAAACTGGGGACGGGATTCCAGAGGGGGACGCGTCCCTAGCTGATGTGGGGGCCGGCGGGGGTCCTGTGGGAACAGCTTGGAAGGGGGTGACTGATGTCATAGATCCCTTGATTGTGGTTAAATTTAAATAATTAGGGAAGAGTTTGCTGAATTTGCAAATAACAGCCCAAGTAGTAAATCCTGAAGAATTCAGAACAGAGGGGTTGACCCTGGTCCCCTGGATAGCTATGCTCTAAGTAATAGGTCTGGGGGTGAAGAGGCTTGCATGTGGAAAGTGAAGGGGGAAGACAGGACACTCGGGGCCCTGGAGGAAGTCCGGGGGTTCTAATGGGGAAGTTGGCAATGGAGGACAGGAAGAACGTGGGAACCGGGTGGGTCAAGGAAGCTAAGAAGGGCTGCTCTTCTCCCCAAAACGCATTCTGTGCTGCAAGCAAATGCCAGACATGACGCTGGGCAGGATTAAAGTGGGTGTCGGGTGCCTGACATACCTTGATCGGGGGCCATTGAGTGGAAGCGTTTGGCAGGTCTTTGCTCCTCCATAGCAATCTGCCAGAGAGGAATGGATCAACTGGAGGCTCCAACATGCCAGGCTCCCTGCCCACCCTGCCGGGCACTACCGTCCTCCCCCCGCCGCCCTGCACCAGGACCTGGGGGACACAGTGCCAGTAGGCAGGGGGTTTGGAGAGACGGTTAAACTGTTTTCAAAGAGCAGCAAGTGGTTGTCCGGACAGGGTGGGAATAGATGAGATTACCCTGGGCGGACTGAAGGAAGCTTCCTTCCCCAGAGCCAAGCGGTGAGGAAGGAGGAGAG